CGAACTTTAGATTTTATGCAGAGGTTAAATTGTATTAACACTTACGACATCACATCACATGCAGTAACAATAAAATAGCATCTTCTCTGTTCTTCTCCTGTTCCAAGCTCTAGCTTGCTATACTCCAAAGGAGGTTCAAGTTCAGAAGGAAAAGGCAAAGAAGATTTTAAGCTGCCTTAATTTCCACTCAGACTTAGACACCCAAGCAGAAGTCATCTTTGTTGTGAACCACATTTGCAAGTTACCTACAGGTTGCTTTGCACCTTAAAAAAACACTGAGCCAAGAACTGTTTATCCTTGGGTCCCACATGCAACATAAGAATTCCTATAAAGCTACAGAAGGTGTTCAACGCACCAGGTCTATGCTCATCAAATCCTGAAAAAATGGCAAATCCTATAAATAGCATTTGAACAATTTATGTCTTCTGTATATAAAACAACAGCAAAGGAACAGGAAAATTGGAATCCACCATTTTATTTTGACCCTTACTAAGCAATTTTCTGATAAAAGTTTCCATGCAAAAATTCAATTCCTATCTAGAAAAGGAATACAAACTGCAGGATCACAAAGAAAAAGTCACGGTTAAAAATAAGCTAAAAGAAAATTATGAACAAAAGTTGTCTTTTCATGGGTTACAACTGATGGAGCCACCAGTGTGTTTATTTAGGATGCACTCTAGTGGACACATAACAAAACCAAACAAAGATACAAATGAAAGCCACGTGTTGAAAATGGCAATTAGAATTATTTACTAGCATGTTTTAAAATACTGTCTTATAGGTTGAATGTATTTCCTAACTAAATATGAAGGCTGTATGAAGGCTGAAATTTTCCGAGTCAACATGATTGGACAGAACATGGAAATCAACACAGTTACTTAGCAATTTTTGAAAATTTTAATCTAAATAACAAGATTCAGTTACACATACTGGCTCAAAAGAGAAACTTCACCTATTAACCTACTTACTCCATCCCTTTGAGACTGGCTCAAGAAGCTGCCATGCATACAGTGTTAATAGGTGTAATTACAACTGTAATGCCTTAAAATGTGGTCTTAAAATGACACTATTTTAACTATTACTAATAAATATAACCAAAACCTGACAAAATATATTCACTGGAATATCAACCCTTACAGCGTATTTGTTCCGCAGAAAAGGTTCTTGACCGTTATAGAAATTGGAAACCTATACCAATACCGAATAAATGCAGATGGCAAAGCCTGACCACCTAGTCACAGAAGTACTTCCATTTGTCATTACGTAGAAAGTTACACAAACATTTCTAAGTATTTATACCTGGAAAGCGATATTTTCCTCTTTTGATTTTAAGGATGTTCATATAAGACATTAATGCCATCCAAGAAGCAAAATGGCAACAGAGAGGGCAACAGGATTTAATTAATAAATGAGCTTTATTATTTTTAAGGGAAAAATAACATATTATTATGTTAGAAATCAATAGTGCTTACCTTTTAAAAGATTGATAGGATTATGCATAGTATGAGCTACATGAACAGAACAAGTTATTTAGAGCACAAAAATATTTATTACATGATTGACCTTTGCCTGTTGGGTATATAGATATTTTTAACAGTTTGCCAAAGAGCAAACCCCTTAAAGCTAGATAATAATACAAACGAATGAAAGTGAAATTATCCTCAGAATCTCTTTCATCCCAAAACTGAAGAAGGCAGTGAATGCACTAACTATGCAGCACTGAATTTGTAATGAAGAGTATTTTCTTTATACATTACTGGCAATGACAATGTTAATTGTCCAACTAACCTGTATTATTAGAAGACACTAAGCTGTAAAGGCATGTTTTAGCCAAGAAGTGTGTGATTTCTTAATGCTGGTGTCTTTTTCATTTATAATGGACAGATATGGAACATTCTTGATATGCTGTACCAGGATACCAGTGATTGCAGAAATTTATTCATATAATTTTTTTTTTTTATTTTTATTTTTTAGAAGTGAGGCTTTGAGGACTAATAATGGTTATTTAGTAAAAACAACACTGATGTAATTTATTGATTTGCAAATTCAAGACAAATGCAAAAAAGATTATTTTAAGACTTGAGTGATCAAAATTGATATGCAGACACTTGCAGCTCACCTAATATCACACAATAACCAGAAAAGGTTATTATGAAGCCTAAAGCAAACAGTGTTACAAAAAGCACCTCATGATTTCTAAGGCAGACAAGATCTTTTAATGTACCTGTTTACTGAGTCATAGAGTTCAATTTATCCCTTTCAGATACATTGGTAAATCTTCCGATTTGATTTTTACATCTAGTTTGAGTGCAGAATTCTCTCTCCATTTTCTAACCTGCAGAGCCTTTCCTCTTCCTATTAGAACCCACTCAAATTCCTCGAAAAATTTTTTTCAACAACCTTTTGTTCTTTCAGTATTGATTCAAATTATGATATTGTAGCCTTTACTCCAAAATAATCTTGACATGTTAATTGTATCTATAATTATTACAGTTACACTTCAAGAATCAATGGGCAATAAGTTTTCAATTTCAATTGCAGTTTTCTTCCTGAGTCAGCAAGACTAGCTACAATGGTTTAAGAACAAAAACGAAACATCACATGCTAGAATTAGCAGACTTTATACAAACACCCAGAAAGCACAGAAACCAAAATAACAGGTATGTAAATCAGTAAAATACATAAATTAAGATATTGCACTTCAGGATCAGCAAGTAATGAGTAGAAAATATATTTACTGCTTTCAGATCGCTTGAGAACTTTCTTGTTCTGCTTCTGTTGTGCTCTAGCAAACAAAAAAAGAAATTCTATCAGTTTCCAGCATTAACTGAACTTTCTAAAAGTAAAAATGAGGAAAAAATAAAAAGAAACAACCCACATAACAGATAAATCCATATTTATCAATTATGTATTCTTCCATTCAGTGAAATACAATGAAGTTTATTACCAGACTTTTATTATAAAATCCAGTGAGTCTGGATGAAGTATTATGATTCTGAGAGCAGAATATTTTCAACTGTACAAGTCCACACATTTTAATTTTATTGACCTGCTTTTAATTTGTAGTTTAATTTAACAAACATATCACTGTAAAACCTGAAATAAGATCACCAAAGGCCAACGTAATCCAACTTTAAACGACTTTAGGCATGAAAACTTGGAAGATGGCACATATAAGTAGCAGCTTCTGGTTTTGAAATTCGCTTATTTAAGAACAGAATATGCCTGAAGCCTCAAGAATAGTAATTAATATGCAATTATCAGAAAAATATAAAAATTTGGGCTGAGATGTGATTTAGCTTAGTGAAAAAAAAACCCCACCAAAAACCCAAACACCTGTGAAAACCTGGCCCTAAGAATAGTCATAAATACTTTCATAAATATACTTAGAAAACACTTATAAACCAGGCTGTTATTAAAGTAACCCTAAACATAGAGCATATTAATATCACAATATAAATCTTGAGCTAGAATTACACTACTGATACCAGAAATTATGTGAGCAAATTATTAAGGATTATTAATTAAATTATTAATAAAGGAAAAGGTGTTCTTATATCAATGTACTAAAAGTAGGATACCAAAATCTCAATTCGCACCTCTTGGAATACAGATATCAACATCTTTACAACCACTGAATACCTGGGACACAGAATCACAATATGGAGCCATAGTTCTAGCACTGAAAACGTTCAACACTCATGTTGTCACAGGGCTCAAAAAACTGATTCTGAGCAGGTCCTAGCTTTAGTGAGCACAGTGTGTCATTAGTATTTGGTGTTATATGCTAAATGTTTACACAAGAGTGCATTCTGCTGCACAAAAATATACTTCACACCAACCAGAAAAATATAAATAACTTCAGTCACTCAAAAACAACTTATCTTTTGTGATTTAGTATATGTTGTATATGATTATCTGTTCACATGGAAAAGGAAGGCCGTCTCCTCTAATTATATTCATGCTTTCATTTGTAACATATCTGAATACAAAAAGGCATTTTAAATCTTGAGGACTTAGTCAGCCAACACCACACAGTCTTTTAGAATAGCTTAACTTGTACCAGAGAACGGGTTATGGGAAGTTTGGAGGTTGTGGCCAAAATACCATCCCTCAAAACCATAGGAGAGAACCACTACAGTCTTAACTCCAGCAGTTTCAACCTTTGGTATGTCAGCACAGAAAAGCAAATCTGTAAGAACCAGTCATTTATAAACTCCCTTTTCTTTCTAAACACTTACCTCAAACTGTTCATTCTCATCTAGCTCCTCAACGCTGGTCAAATTAGGCGCTCCAGCTCTATCTGTAAATTCAGCTATCATCTTGTCATCATTTTCCTGTGGCAACAAAAACCAGTTTTCAGTTAAAAGTATTCCACGTCATGAATAATTATCTATAGAGAATATTCCAGATGTGCTTTAATAACACTATGTATTAATATAAAGAGAATACCTAGATGCATGCTATAGAAATATGTTAGTACGTGAATATGTTCTTTGCATGCTTATTAAGCCAATTTTTATCAGACTTATTTAAATAATGGGAAGTTTCATTTAAATTTCTACATATTAATCTTTTCTGTCACTTTTATACTGTCATCTTCCTACAGTTATGTTCTGTCAGTGTTTTAACAGCGTGCTCTAAAAATGTACATGTCTCTAAAATATGATGTGCTCCATGTAAATTTAAGAGATATTCACATTTAAAAGCTTTAATGAGATAAACATGACAATTATCAGTGCATGTTTTTACTGAAATGGCATTAAAAGACCATGCATTTCCACAGATACCTATAAACACATTCTTCTGTTAGTATAAATTCTTATGCACCAGGAGGATCTCAGAATCAAGAAGCATTTCAATTCCAAACCACAGTTCCTTTTCCAGGTACAGCAAATGGACTTTGGGCTGACACACTGTATAACATTACTGTCTAAACACTTAAAGTAGACATAGTTAAATTATAATACTTTCTCGTATTTCTCAAGGAATGTGAAAGCATCAACTAAGTTGACCTTATGCTAAATTTTGCAATAAATTTATGCTCTGCTCTGAATATAAGCTAAATAAACCTAATAGAACATACAAAAATGCAAGTATGAAACCCAGAGTGGAAGAAAGGTGTTAGAAATTCTTCCCCCATTTTCAATTTTTTTTTTAATTATGTGTCAGTTCAACAACCATAGGCTTCTGCACCGTGCTTCGGATTTAATGCTTGCATCTGGAAAAGGCAGCTGATAACAGTATTTTCAAACAACTGACTAAGCTTTGGCTTAAACCTCTTGATCTTCCTGCTGCAATGGCATTTTGCCTTCTTCATTCTGCAGTTCCAGCTCCTTACGTTCTTGTTCCAGCTGAGCCTGCAGTCAGTTTAAGAAAGGTAATTAGAAGGGGAAAAAAACCCACATTCATCTTGCCCACCCCATCGCTTACCACGCATCTCACAAATGAAATCTTAAATAAAATAAAAAGGAAGCATAAAACATAACTGCAGTGCTAATAACATAAAACCCTTCCAGTGTCATCTGACTCAACACTTCCACAGGTTTTAGACTTGCATAGATAAAAAGGCTTTACTATCAAGAGAAGAAATAGGCAACTGAACCTAGCGTACATGCTTAAGATACTGTTTCCTTCTACATGCTCTTTATCAGTCTATACTCATTATCTCCTATACTTTGAATTAAGCTCTTTGATACTTCAAATAGTACCTAGCACAGACAGATGAAGCCACCTAAATTCAGATCTATAGAAAACTTTAGAAAGCAATGTCATTGACATTAATCATCTTCAGCAGCAACCTTTAATATTTCCAATCTGAAATATCTAATACAAAGTGTTTATTCTTTGTGACATTAAGTTCTACTGCATCAAAATTTAATGCATAATCTAAGTGCTCACATTCAACAACACTAGGGCCTAGACAATACTGTTTGCTGCAGCATTTTGTGAGTAGTTACCACAAATATAGTCATATTGTAGTAACTAGTTTTCACATCCCTTTTTGGTAAATATAATCAAAACATGCCCGAGTACATGAGTACTCCAAGTACTATAGCCAAAATTGTGTTAGGTTAAAAAATGTGTCTAACGTGAATATTTAATAATTCACATCTTTTCTATAGTTTACATGAAATAATTTAATTAATTCCCTGTGAATTATCTCTAGACAGAATCTCAAATTCTTGTTTCCATTTGCTATTTTATATGACTTGTGAAATCCTAACCTGGTTTTGGCTGAGATAGAGTTTCTTTTCTTCTTAGTAGCTGGTGCAGTGCTGTGCTTCTGCTTTAGTCCAAGAACAATGCTGATAACACACCGGTGTGGTGTCCCTGCTCATGGCAGGGGGGTTGGAACTAGATGATCTTAAGGTCCTTTCCAACCCTAACTATTCTATGATTCTATGTTTTAGTTGTTGCTAAATAGCACTTACCCTGATCAAGAACTTTTTGGTCTCTCATGCTCTGCCAGTGAGGAGAGGCACAAGAAGCCAGGAGGGAGCAGAGACAGGACACCTGACCCAAAGCAGCCAAAGGGATATTCCATACTACAGCACGTCATGCCCAATATATAAACTGCGGGAGGTCACCTGGAAGGGACTGATCGCTGCTCAGGTCAGGCTCGGTATTGGTTGACAGGTGGTGAGCAACTGTATTGGGCACCACTTGTGTTTATTGTTTGGTTGGGGTTTTTTTTCCCCCTTTCCCCTTTTAGTTTTATATTCTCCTCCACATTCCTCCCAGGAAGGGAGAAAAGGGGAGGTGGAGGGAGAGGGCAAGCAGCTGTATGGTACTTGGTTACCAGCTGGGTTTAAACCACAACAAATCCTTAGGCACATAACTTTAAGTCTGAGAATTAGTAAATTCCAAATTTTAAAAGTGCAAGTGAAATAGAATAAACACATCTTACACTAGAACTGGGCGTAACAGGATTTGAAATTACCCTCCTGATTTTAGCATCCTGAAAGTCAGCCATGCAAAAAAATCCAGGCAGATAACATCAGTGCTACCACAACACCACCGAAGCCGTCATACATCATTGATTCCCAACCATTTTCAGGTCCCTGTAATTGTGTATACTTTCTCATTACCTGTGTTTGCATTACTGATACTACACTGAAGTAACTTCAGACAATGTTTGGTTATCATTCCCATACCTCCTACCAGGCCTGTCAAAAATTTTTGCAATGATTTCTAACTTTATTTGCACCAGCTCTTGTTCATAATTAATTACAGAAGCCAGGTCTTCTTATTTTAAGTTACTTCTGATGTAAGTATTTGGGTTTTTTTTTACATTTTACCACATAGTATGCAAGTTTTCCTTCCCATGTGCTGACTAATCATTCCAGTTATTATTTAGAAAAACGAGTTTAAAACACTTGTTTTATGATACCTTCTATTCAAATCATTATACAGAGATTAGATGTATGCAGAGCTACAGGATGCCACAGTATCATATACTATTTAAAATTATCGATTATTAAGTATTATTAACCTGACGTTGTTCTTCAAGTTTCTGCTGGATCATTAGTTCTTCTTCCTTCATTCTTTGTAACATCTCAAGTTCTTCCAGGGCTGCCTCCCGTTCCTGTTCCAGCTCAATCCTCTCCAACATTATCTATTTCAGAGGTAACACAGAATCAAATGAAAAGAAGAGAGATTAAATAGAATCAATATTATCATGAATATTTTTTTGACCAAGATGGGTCCACCTTTTTTTCTTCATCTAAGACTCTTCTATAATTGTAAATCCAGTGTGCCAGATATTCTACTGGATCCGCTGGCCGACGTTCTGCAACCTCTGCCAGTCCCTTTCTCAAGCAACTTCCCAGGCATCTCTTCAGATATTGAGACTCCATTCACATCTAATAATAACAGAAAGACATTAGACATCGATGTCAGAGTTAAATTAGGGTTTTTACAAATCATTGCCTCAAGCACCAAATACTGAATATGACATTACTCTTTTTACTAACCTAGCAATTAACTGAAGAAAGTAATTTAAATTTAATATTGGTTTAGTTCTTAAAAACTCCAGTGATAGATCAATTGTACCAGCACTGCAGGAAAAAAAAGCTCAAAATCCCCCTTTACTGCTGATAATTTTAGGTCAGTATGAGAGGGGAAAAAAAAATCAAAACCACAGCAGGGCATATGGCACAGGCACAGCAGAAAACTCCTACACAGTGAAACTCCTACAGCAAAGTAGTTCTGTGAATGATTAAGGATAGATTTTAGTTTGAGCTAACAAAGCTATCTTCAGGATATGTATACAAGACCAGGGCCTTATGCAATCGCTCTATACAGTTATGAAAGACATAAACCTGTACACACACAAGGCTTTACTGGCATTGTGACGGTAAATGTATAAAAAACTCGAGTTCTGCAAAACTGAAATACCCCTCATTGGCTGTGAAGAGGAGTGAATCCACCACCTCACACGAAGTGGTGTGGATACAAAACCTCTCTGACCCTCCACGTTCCCACTGTCTCCCAAGGTGGAGGGTCCGGAACAGCAGACAAGGCCCTGAGCACATTAACAGACCTCAGGTGTCCTGACCGCTTTCACCTAGAGCTTCCACCCACACCCTCTGCCCCGGCTCCATTTAAGCTCAAGGTTGGGGGCTTTACCCTTCCCCTAAATAATACGCTGGGCGGGCCTGTTCCTGAGCCCTGCTCCTGCGGCGCTGTTGGGATTTCCAGAGCGGACCTGGCATGTTACTCTGTCTCGCCCGGTGCTCCATA